TGGACTGGACTGGACTGGACTGGAAACTGGACTGGACTGGACTGGACTAGACTGGCGTGGACTGGACTAGACTGGACTGGACTAGACTGGACTGGAAACTGGACTGGACTGGACTGGACTGGACTGGACTGGACTGGACTCCAGTTCCAGTTATTCAAATCCATTTTTTGTCTCTTTCCTGATTCTGATTTTGTGTGTTTTTTTTTTTTTTAGCTGCCAGCTTGTCACCCTCTGCGTCCTGCCCCATGACCCCCATCAGCTCTGCTGCAGTTGGCTCCTCCTCCTCGTCTGTGACCACGCCCCCTCACAGCACAGCCAGCCCCACCCCTGCCAGCCTCGGCAGCCACGGCCTCAACGCTGGGTGAGTTTGTTGACCTGAATTCACTCAGATTATATACATACCTTAACGTGAGCAGCCCCTAGTGGTCACCCCCGGCAACTTCCTTTTTTAATTTTTTTTTTTATTTCATGATAAATAAAAACACAAAATAAAACTTTACCCCCCCGGCAACTTCCTTTTTTAATTTTTTTTTTTTATTTCATGATAAATAAAAACACAATATAAAACTTTATAAAACTCAACACAAAAAAAAGTTTGTAACAGTCGTTTTCACACACTGGTTTTTTTTTAATGTGGTGTGTGTGTGTGTGTGTGTGTGTTACATCCATCACACTCCAGGAACACAATGATGGGAGTAAGCACAGGGATGAACCAGGCTCTGATTGGCAGCAATCCTCTGGCTACAATGCAAGGTGGGTGTGTGTGTGTGTATATACGTGTATGTGTGTGTGTGTATATACGTGTGTGTGTATATACGTGTGTGTGTGTGTTTGCGCCCGTGGCTCCTCACAGGGCTCCGTTTCTAAAGACCGCTCCTCATTTTACCCTTTCATCCATTTGGAAGCGAAATGAATTTCCCTGGAACGACTGTAGCCGACGGCCGATGGTCTCGCTGCTCCTCCTCCTCCTCCTCCTCCTCCTCCTCCTTTTTCTCCTCCTCCTCCTCCTCCTCTTCCTTTTTCTCCTCCTTTTTCTCCTCTTCAGCACAAACTTTTTGAATCCCTCTGTGAGAATGATGAAAGATTGAATGGGATTTTCCATACAATAGTCAGCCATTATCACTGAGTGACAAGAGCGCCCCCTGGCCAAGATTAGGAGGAGCTCACCGTCGGAACGTTCTCCCACTTCTCCGTGAATCCAGGCCTATTCACCTGACTGACTGAAGAGGGCGACGTGCTGCCAAATCAATTAAGCATTACTCAGAAAAGGCTGAGCTCCGACTGTGTGTGTGTGTGTGTGTGTGTGTGTGTGTGTGTGTGCGTCATCATGTCAGGTCCGTCACACTCTCCTCAGCTCAGTGCAGGTTCAGATCCCAGCCTCCTCCAGGCCGTGTGATGATGAAGAGGAGGAGGAGGAGGAGGAGGGAGAGATGAAGTGATTGAGAAGAAAGGGATGTCTGGGGTTTGATTCCCTCTGGGAATCACACACACACACACACACACA